AACTCAACCAACTCACAGGGCTGTTTTGAGGAAAAATAGGTGAAGTGTCAACCTATTATGTACACACTTTGAACTTCTGTCAAAGACGTGACATAGAAATGTAATAAATAAGAATTACATGGATAGTATATGCTACCCATGACCCATTGGGTCATCACTTCAGCAATATTTCCTTACCTAAACAAACAGAATGACTAAGGGCAGGCAAACAAATAGTGGGAGAAAGAGCAAGTTCCAACTTTCTGCAGGCTTCCCCATTGATCTTCTTGTAGGAAGCTGATAGAGAGCATTGGAAATGATGATCATGTGATGGTGGTTGACCACAGGAATCAGGAGTCCCTGAGTTTGGATACATTTTTTAAGTTAGTCCATTTGAGGTACATTGGTTTAAAAATTGTTGCCTTATGATGCACTGTTTCACCCAATTGAAGGTTACAAACATTAGAAGGTTACAAACATTTGGTAATACATATATGCCTGAAGGATCTAATAAGTCAAGGACCAAAAGGCAGTGAAATTGTCTTCTAGTAGCTGTTTCAGAAAACATCTGGCCAATACATTCAGGAACCCCCCCTAATATATTATCCCTCAATCTTGAATTAGCTAGTTTCTGAAGGATGCATTTATAATGCTCCTGAGAATGCTAGAAGCTCCCAAACAACTAACAGAGATGTATTCCTATTATTTAAATGACTTTCTCAAGAGTTCACTGAAGCTTGGACACAGAATGGAATGGGTTGAAATAATGGTCTTCATCCAGAATACCTAGAGTTGTGGTGCCAAATCTGGTATATCTGCTATATTCTCCTATATTTGACCATATTTTAAAAAGAGATATTTGCTGACAGTTATCTAGTTTGAAAGGATTAAATACATAAATAAATAAATACTTTATTTTGCAAAATTATTATTAGAGGAGTTGAAATTAATCATTTTACTTTTCATTCTCAAGACAGTTCAACTGGTTGTCAGACTTATGTCCATTGTAATGAACAACCAGCCTTATTCCTCCAGGCAACTTGGCTCATGGCCTTAAGTGAATCCCATTAATCAAAACTAAAGAAGTGGCTCCCTCAGTTACATTAGAAGCTACGTAATATACTTTAATGTGAAAAAGGTTATTTTATCAGAACAAGGTTACAGAATTTATCATAATAGGTTTTGTGGAAATGAGCAAATACTCTTCTCATTACTTGGAATGTAATACCATTGTCACTGAAGAACCCAAAATAATTCTATGAAAGAACACTGGGCTAGAGAGAAATGATTTATCAGTTACAAAGGAGGCCTTAATTTGCTTTAGCAAAAGTCAGTCTAGTCATTTATTTAATTGCTTCATTGCTTTAAGTTCTACAGAAAACCAAGACATCTGTGTTCTGTGTTCTTAGCCACAATCATCTATCTACTACCTAGGTCATCCCCTTCATAAATCAGTCAGAGCTCAAGCAGGGTGACCAGTTATAGTAACTGAGACAGCTGTGATTTTAAAAATTAATTTTAGGACTTCAAACATGTGGATTTGGGTCCTCAGAAGATGAGGCTACAGGGATGCTTTGGGCAGCAACTTGAATAAAACTTTAAGCAGATATTTAAACCCATCCCTCTTTCACAAAAAGGAAGATTTGAAGCTAATCTTCACAATGCATAGATGATATTGTCGCAAACAGATAGTTTATGATATCTAAACTGATATATAGATATTAATAACTTTTCAATCTAGATCACAGTTGAATAACAGGTGATAGATTCATCCTGGACAACCTGTGCATATCCCTACTTTCATTACCCCTTATGCCAGCAACCTGGCAAAAGACCATTCTTCCTGAAAATAATAAGAGACAAAGATACATACTGTTCACGCTGACAAGCTTAAGAAGCAACAGGGTTACATTAACTTCCCTCAGTTAGCTGTGCAGCATAACATTTCTTACTACTGCTGACAAAGAGACAAAATCTTAAGAGTGGCCCTACAAAAAAAAAGGCAGCTCTAGTCATACCTTACAGCTTGTTTTACTTTTTATACCCACTACGTGGGGACTAAAATGGAAAGAAACAAACAGAAAAGTCTCCTTCAACTATGTCAACACCAGGCCAATTGTCTCCACTTTAGTTTTTTTAATAATACAAAAAAATAAAAATGACAGGTAGTGATCCTTTGTTTCTTTTGACGGGGAAGCTGTCAAAGATAGTCACTTTCAAACTGATTAGGGCATCCATGATGGTATGCCCAAAATGCAAAAGAGTATTTCCCAAAGTGCAGGAATTAATTGTGTCAGCTGCATCATGTAAGTGCTCTGCTTCTTGAAAGTGGTAACCTCTCTTATTTCAGGGTAATCTGTCTCTACTTCCCTCCAGAAAGCCAGAAGAAAACTATGGCTTCTTAATCTACCCACACATCATACAATATTTGGATTTTAAAATGCAGGACTGCAACTTAATCTTGCCAAAATGATAAAGGTTGAAAAGTTATACCTTTAGTGTTTAATAATTGTAAACTAGTTGGGGAGCAAAAAAACAAACAAAAAAGCAAGCTAAACAGGGTACTAGCCATCTTTATGACAGGTAAGGCAGGTCGATGTTAATTTCTTTCTCAACTTTCAGAACTGTTATGCTATTGCTTATGTGGCTTAGTTGTTCATCTTTCTGCCAATCTGTCAAAATCTTGATTTCTCTAATAAATATACTTGTTAAGCACCAAAGTAAGAAATCCTTAACCACAATCTAGGATTCAGTTATCTAAAGTAAAATCCACTCAACGAAATTGTGTAGATGTATGTGTGATTTGAGTTCTTAGACCATTGAAGTTTTATAAGTTGTAGAAGTGTTTTCTTGGCCACAAGGCAAATTGGGAATACTTTTCTAAATAAAAGTCATCTGTAGAAAGAAGGATATCATGCATTAAAAAGCAAAGAAAATACTCTTAGTTAACGGGAAAACCTGATGCTAGGTATCTCACAAAAAAACTCAATTGTTTTAATTTTGATTCTCTGAATTCAAAAGATAGAATATTCTGTGATAGATCAGAAAGATCCTATTTCTTTAATTTCTGTATCAAATCATAACAGCTTTTGGAAGACTAAAAAGAGTAGGTGGGCTGATGTGTTTGGCTAAAATTGGAATCACACCTAAGACTTACAGATTTCATTAGGGAAACCACTTATTTTATTCAAGCATATTTCAAGCCATTTCTGGGTCTGATACCATTTCATTAACATTTATAAATGATAGCTATACAATTATTCCTGAAAATAACAAGGGACAAGTAAATAGAGGTTGCTTACAAGCAGCTAGGTAATGGCAGCATAGACTTTTTTTTTAACCTTGATCTAGAAACTAATGTCATTTTAGGTGAGCTAGATTCTAACTCTAGAAAACTCTCTGTCAAAATGCCCATCAAACAGTTCTTGTTAGCCATATTGAAAAATATGTAAACAAGAGCAGTAGCCTGCAGCCTCCTAAGACTATAAATGTCTTGCCAACTGGCACAGTATATAGACAAGGCCCTATTTCTACATATTCTGTACTGCTTTGACTAAGACTCATGCATGTTTGTCTACCAATGGCAGTCTGGCTTCCCAGTTTAATCCACAGGCCTTAGTTTGCAGAAAACTATCCTAAGCATTTGCCACCTCACTATACAAGGTGAACAATACAGATGTAGAAGCATTTTGCCCTGTGCCAATAGAACAAATGCCACCTATCCAGAATAGGACTTAATAGCTATATTGAACTAGCCCTGGCATACATCAGATTCCACTTCTTTCTTTTGGACAAACTGCATTCTGTTTGTAGCAAGAATCCTCTCAGTTCTCCCACAATAAATTAGTGAATTAAAATTACCACTGAGGTCCACTTGGTGAGCCTCTTGGGTGATATAAAATCACTTACACAATGACTTTTGTGGAACATGGTCAGTGTCTCCTTTTGGCCTTATAGGAGTATAGGAGTATTTTGATAACTGTCTCCTATCCTGTAATTAACTCTTTTTTGTTTAATAAAGGATGTTTCAACTGCATAAGATCCAATTGACTGCCATCTCCTAGTACCTATAGGGAAGGATTCATGTATTGAAAGAGATTCTGAAGCAGGCCCAGGCACAATGTGAAGGACAAGATGAAGCATAGTCCCAGGGCAGAGCCCACTGAAAAACAAATGAAATACAGTACTCAAAATATAAACAGAATGCTAGGATATAGATGTGCAACATCAACTGATTATTTTGGGAAAGGCCTGTCTTTGTATGCCCGATAGGCAGAATAAGATTTGAGATTTAAGAAATATGTAACTGCTTTTGCAAAATCTGAATAGGTTTTGGTGATGATTACAAGGTGCAACCAGCATATGGTATGGTGCTTCTCTACTGAAATGAGAGGGAAATTGCAGCAAATGTACAAGCAGCCGCCTTCCGCATCCTGGAGTGGACTATATTCACAATCAGTTACTATAGCATACAAGGAAAAAGGCAACTGAATGCCGAAATAATATCGACCAGCACAGCAGACATTATTTCAGGCTAACTGTTTACCTAATAAGAGGGTTGAAGGCAGGTGATGCTGGTAGTGAATAAGTGGAGGGGCTCCGGGCCTGATGGGTGCTAGATGTCGGGGGAGCAGGTGGCTGCGGGTGGGGTGGGGGTGCTGATAAAAGGCACACACAATGCTCTATCGGGATTTAGGCAGGATGGATCCAAGGTGGATCTTGAGGTGACCGCCAAGCGACCAACGGGTGCTGATGGATGCATGGTGGCACGAAAGGAGGGTGCTGAAGCAATGTGCTGCGGGAGCCGCATTCAGGAGGGCGATCCCACCGGGTGCATGAGGGATGGCAAAATGCTACTCCGGATGACTGAATGCGGGTGATCCGACTGCGCTAGCACCAATGTGGCTGAAGGGGGGATCGCGCCGCCGATGGAAGCGGGGATAAGCGAGCTGAGGGCAGAGGGGTGTGGATGCAGGCTCGGGTCTGACGGCGGGCGAGATGGGGGCGCGCGCGCCCAGTACCTGTGAGGCTCTCCCCTGTTCCGCGCCACTCGCCGCCGCCGCCGCCGCCACCTCGGGGGTCTCGGGAAGGCCGGGCCCGGCGGGGGGCGCGGGCGGCTCGGGGGGGGCTGCTCCCCCCGCCCGCTCTCGCCGCGCCCCAGCCGCGCCCACCGCTTTATTCCGCCTGCGAGTCATGCTTGTCCTGCACCCCACGCAGTAGCTCCCGCCGCCGCCGCTCGCCGCCGATAATGCCGTTGCTGCTCGCCGCCGCTAACGCCGCTCGCCGCCACCGCCGCCGCTGCTTTCAGACAGGACAACAGCCAATATGGCGGCGCGGCCCGTCCGGCCCCTGCCCGCGGGGGAAGCCTTCGCCGCCATCGCCGAGGCGGGCAGTGCCTGGGCAGCGCGCCCCCCAGTGGCTGGAGGAGACGCCATTGGAAGCAGAGTGAGCGCACGGCGGCGATTAAATGGCCCGGGAGGAAAGCCAGTGGCTTTGGGCAGGGAGATCCCAGCACCCCCCCCCCCCTGCAGTTTTCTGCCGGGCTCAGCTGGCTGGTTGTCGTTTGGAGGCAGTTTCCGAAAGTGGGAAAGCTTCTGTTGCAAAAACAGATACAGGTCAGGTAACGTTGATCCTTGGGCACTGATGCAGAAGGAAGAAGAGTGTTTGGAAATGTTAACTGAGCGTTTACCTTTCCATCCAGTAAAAGGGGTCCCCCTCATCTATACAGGCCACCCCCTCTCGTTCCTGTCCCGTTGATTTTTCGCTTTTCCAACTATATATCCTTGCAATTAGTTATTAGAGCCTTCAGTGACTGCCTCAGTTAAAACGCCCATGCAGTTTAGAAGAATGTACTGCTTGTAGTATACAGTATAGTTTAATGTGTGTTTGAAAGCCTTACCACTGTAGATTTTGAAACATTTCTAAACCGCATCCTTAAAATACTCCCTATGCAATGTATAAAGTAAAACAACGTGAAATGTAAAACAATTTCAATAAAACAGTGTTAATAAAAATGACACAACATATTTTGTCAGGAAAAAGGAAAGATTTGAGCAAACAGGTCTGTTTTCAACAGATGCTAGAAACAATACCTAAAATAGTTCTGCTAATGGCCCATCTATTCCAGCATTCTGTGTGATATAGAAGGCAAATAAGTACATTCTGCAAGCTATCAAATTTAGATAGATGTGCTGCTTTAATTCTTGTAGCAAAACTGTAAATAGATATCCAGTCTGGCAGACATTAATAGCCTTATCATGAATTTATCCAGTGTCATTTTAACCTGTCAAAATTAACTATTCCTAATCTGATGGCAGCAAATTCCACCATGTAAATATCCATTAAGTAAAGAAATCTTCCTATATTCAAGTTTAATGGATGACTCTAACATTATGGGAAAAGGATCAAAGCTTCCCTCTATCCACATTTTTCACAGTATAAATTATTTTATATGCTTTATACCTTTCCCCTTACTATCCAATAGTCTGCAGTAATATTAGCAAGTTATGAACAAATTACAGATAGTCCTCGACTTACAACCACAATTGAGCCCCAAATTTTTGTTAAGTGAAACATTTGTTAAATGAATTTTGCCACATTTTATTACCTTTCTTTCCTCAGTTGTTAAGTGAATCACTGCAGTTGATAAATAAATAACCCAGTTGTTAAGTGAATCTGGCTTTCCCATTGACTTTGCTTGTCAGAAGGTCGCAAAAGGTAATTACATGATCTTGGGACACAGCAAGGGTCAGAAATATGAACCGGTTATTGATCATCTGAATTTTGATTACATGATCATGGGCATGCTGGAAAGGTCATAACTGTGAAAAACAGTCATAAGTCACTTTTTCCGTGCCATTGTAACTTTGGTCATCAAATGAACTGTTGTAAGTCGAGGACTACTTGTACCTACTGATGTAGATTAGCAATGGAGGTATATAAAGAAATAGGTCTATTTATTGAGTTGCATGTATACAACATTTATATATTTATATATATATATTTATATATTTATCCATGAATCTGTGTATGTATCCATGAAGCCACTTGTTCTTTTGCTTTATTTAGTGATATTTTTCTTTCCTTTTTAATAATTATACTTTTCTTTCTTTTTTATAACTGCGTATTGTTTATTTTTGTTTAATTTATTTTGTCTTCATTTAATTAAAACACACACATATACAAAGAGAATCTATACAAGGAAAGGCTTCAAATCTGAGAAAGACAAGATAGCATGTACATTCTTTCAACAAAATGGGAGGGGGGGAATTAGAGCTGGTACCGGAAGCATGCTGCATTTTGCAGCTTGTAGCTGGACTAACATCAGACTAGGAAGGTGACATATAAATCTTCAAGGACAGGGCCTGATAATTCATGCTATGCTTTAATAAGCTACCTTTACAGTTTACAGCAGAGGGCACTGTTCCTTCATTCCAGACAACATCAATGCAAATTGTACTATCATATATCATTTAACCTGCATTAATTTAATATTTACAAGCTAAAATGTGGACTTAAACAGAAACGCTTTGCCTCTTCCATTTTAAGAAAATGGCCAACTACCCCAACTCTCCATTAATTTGCATGATTTTTTTAACTACTTCAAAAAAGTCCTTTTTGTGGAATTTCTGTTTTCAGTTTTATCTATCAGACTATTGTTTTAAGTGCCTGCTTTCCAGGGTCTTTCTGGTTAGCTCTGTTTGCTTATTCATCGTAACATGTCTTTTAATTATTAAGTTTTACTCAATGCCACTATACCTAGAAGGAAATTTAAGCTTTTTTGTTCTGAAAACAGTAAACAAATAATTATTGTATAGATTTTCAATTTTTAGAGGACACGGTTTGAAAAAGGTCCTAGCAATGACTTCATTCAATATTTATCTTTTTGCAGCAAATGCTTGCTTCTCGTGTATCTGACAAATGGACACCCGTCCCTAATAATGCATCCTACAATAAAAGGGCTTTTTACAACATACTTCATCTGGTTACTAAATCAACTTATTTCTGAGTTTGCATAGACATTGAATAATAAACTAATCTAATAGACTGGGTTCACACAATATAGCAAGCACAAAAATAGAAAAATATAACCAAGCTAAAATTAGCTTAGTTTAGCATGCTATGTGATTGCAGCTACGTCTTTAACTGATCTGGTTAATACAAATAAAGGAGAATATTTGTAGCTGAGGGTTGAAATGGGGGATCCTTGGTGTTCTCTGAGCTTGGTGGTTTTCTTGCAGATGTTTCACTACCCAAACTAGATAACATCATCAGGGCTAGTAAGGAGTGGGGTTTGCTCTCAGTTTATATTCTAGTGGCTTTCCCTGTCAGTATTGGTAGGGGTGGTCTTAGATGTTCTTTGGTTGGGCTGTTTACTGTTGGCTTTTTTTGGCAATTCCTTGATTGAGGTATTGTTTACTTGATTATTGGTCTGATGTTAATCTAAGATTAACTCCAAGATCAATTGAGGGTAGGGAGACTTTAGCCAGCAGCATTTACCAGGTGCTATCCAAGGTACTATCAGTTTTAATGTGACTTTGTCTGCTGTATCAGAGTTACTCACAATCCAGTGTGATTAGATCTTTCTTAAACCTTTCATTATATCTTTAGCTTCAGGTCACCATAAACGGGATACAATCATTTTTGTGACTCAGACATCTTAACTGATAAATTGAAAACACTTTTTCTTAAAGAACAGTTTCATGGTAAGCTGGTCACTTGCTACAATATCACTTAGTAAATGGAATACATATTATTCAGCACTGAATATAATTAGACATTATGTCAATTAAACAATGCTAATGCTAATGGCAAGAATTCTATTGTATTCATAAATATATTCATTCTATTGATCTAGTAATCAATTGAATCTGCAGATATTAGGAAATGTGCTATTTTATTTTATCTTCCAGAAATGATGTTCTAAAAAGCTAACATTTACTTCATTAATCATTTAGATATTTTCCATTTGGATAACTTTATCTCAGTGTTTTCTGCAATGTTAGGCCCAATGGTTAACTACCTGATAGCTTTGTTTGTCCCTGCATATATAATTCTCATAGTCCTTTCGGTTTTTGTTTTGGTTTTTCATTAATGGCTAGTGTTATATTCATTATTTTTTGTTCATCTGTTGGACTTATTCTTATGGCTCAAAATACCTTTAATAAAATGTTAAAAAGTCATACAGGCAATCCTTGATTTACAACCATTCATTTAGTCTCCATCCAGAGTTAATGGCCCTGAAAAAAGTGACTTATCATTTTTCAGACAACTTTGCAGGATCCCTATGGTCATGTGATCAAAATTCAGACACTTGGCAACTGGCATGTATTTATGATGGTTGCAGTGTCCCAGGGTCATATGATCACGTTGTTTGCCACCCTCTGACAAGCAAAGTCAAGGAGGAAGCCAGATTCATTTAACAACTATTGCAAGAAAGGTCATAAAATGGGGCAAAAATCACTGGCTCATTGTTATAAATATGACTTTAACCTGAGAGGTTAATAAATTTAATATAGACAAGTTTTCTGGTCCAATGTAAAATGAATGCTACAGATAGATTTGTAATTTCTTACTGGAATCAAAACTTTTAGAAAATATGTAGAATTAATTTGAAAGCTTATTTCCATTTCTATAAATCTTACACAGTAACTTAAGAGTACTTCTTATCAGTCAAGGTTAAAAGTATCATTTTCTATAGACATCTAATTCCCTCAGACTGTGGAATGCAAGAACGAATTTTAGTAACCTTGATACCCACTTTTAAACCAAAAAAGCGTCATATTAGGTTATGCAGGTATTTATGTCAGTGTCTGGGTATCTCAGTGATATCATCTCTAATCCTTGCTGTGGGATTATATAAGCATCACTTCATTTATAATGATAGCATCTCTTAATCTTCTTGTCTACGACAGCAGCAACCTTTGTTTAGAAAAAGGCCATGGAAAGTGACCTCAGGAAAAAAAAACATGAAGGGTTTTTTTTGTTTTTTTGTTTTAATTTGGTATATCATGCTAAGGCCAATTTCCCAAATTACAGGCAGCTGTAGATATAGGTTTATCCAAAATTCTGGATAAAACAATTGTACTTTTCTTCAAGAGCAAAACCAGAGGATTATGCAAAGAAAACTAATTTCACATTTAGATTTGTGAAAATTCACCCTTCCCCTTTAATTAGCACATGTATACAAGCTACAGATTTACAGCCAGTTAACTAGGGAGGTCAGATTTCAGCAGTAGCAGAGTGATTATGTTTATAATCCCAAATAATAGTGGAAACAGTTCATCTCTTCTGGTCAGTAAATTATAATTGCCAATGAAATCCCTAAGAAGAAATTGTATAACTACTTCAGGAATAATTATATCTGAAATT